AAGGAGACCCATCCTGGCCTGTTGCTCACAGCTGTGTGATCTTAAAAAAGCCACTTCTCAGCTTCTTCTTCTGCAAAATAAGGACTTATTCTGGAATTTGTAGATTTTAGTAGCAGAACATTCTTTTTGAAATGAAATTGTATTCATGAAATGGAAAATCTGAGCCTCTGTGGTTGAAGGAGGTAGAGGGGACACAATGGGGCCCTCCATCCACATTGTATTCTCTCACCCCAGTTGCACCACAGAAGTGGCTCCTGAGCTCACTGAGGATACAGTGATTTCTCATCCACAGTGGGACCTTTCACTGTTACCTTCTGGTCCTGACACTCTCTAAGACGAGAGATCTGTTTTGGGGTCCAGCTCTAGAGGTCTGTGATTTAGAAATACAGACTTCCCTGTCCTGTGTTTTGAATCTACACCTGCCTGAGGGCCCTTTCTACCTGCCTGTGTGCAGAATGTGTAGACTTCTAGGAAATGCTCAGCTTTGGGAATGAGGGAGTGTCCAAGATATGAGGCTATGTTTTTCCCCAGAGCTCAAGTATTTGTTGAGAACATGATGGCAGAACATGGTCTTTAAAAGGCCAGAAGCTAGACAAGGTGGGAGCTGTGGCTTGCTGGCAAGGAAAGACAGACTTCTGTGACCATGTTTTTTCAGCAGCCATTTAGCAAAGAGGTCACAAGGCTTGCCTTTGGTTGTCTCCCAGGTCAGATAATAACTTAAATGCCCGTTGGATTGTGAGTGAAATAGCTCAGAATCTCCAAGGTAAGGAATTCAGAAGTTTTAGAAGTTACAGGTTTACCATCCTTGACACCACCTCCCTGTCTCCCTCAACCCACCATTAGATAAGCTAACACATCTAAAAGGTGATGGGCTCATTTAACATTTTATTGTTTCATGCACAGAGCAGAGAGATCTCACTCTCTCTCTCCTCATGGTGGATTCATGCACTGTTCAGCCTCGTTCACTTTCATACTATTCTTCCTTAAATTTGACCTCTGACTCCTAGGCTGAAGTGTAAGTCAACATTCTCTCATAAAACCTGCAACAGATAGAGAAGAGCTTGTTCCCATCATTGGAGTTGATTAACTCATTCAAATATTTGAGTGTCTCCTTCATGCAGGAAATGCTCCAAATACTGAGTGTCATTTCCTTTTGTCAACTTGAAGGATGTCACAAACCTATCTTTCCACTTCTTTTCTCTAGGCTCAGCAATTTAGTTATTCTAGTCCTCACCTCTAGATTGACAGTATTCTCCACTTTCTTTTTTAAGTCATTTGACCAGCAAGTATTTATTGACTAATTACATGTCCAGATTCTTCTCAACACTTTGAGAAATGTGGAAGTTTCATAAGATCTGGGCCATAGTTTTGTTAGACATGATCTGGTTAAACCACTTGCTTTTGGATCAGTTCTGACTCATGGTGACTCGATGTGTGTCAGAGTTAGAACTGTGCTCCATTGGGTTTTCAATGGCTGCTTTTTCAGAGGTAGATCACCAGAACTTTCTTTTGAAGTGGCCCTGGACAGACTCGAGCCTCCAGCCTTTTGGTTAGCTGCCAAGCATGTTAACAATTTGCACCACTCAGGGATTTCATGGTTGCTGGGTGAAAAAAGAAAAGTAAAAAATACATACAACAGAATAAAACAGAACTTTAAACTCAACAGCAATGAGTTTGGGTTTGGTTTTGGGAAACTTCATTTATCTGACTCCTTCTTAAGAGGAGGAAATGATGATCGGATCTAAAGTTTCCGGGGACGATGGGATAACACCTAATTTTGTTGAGCTAGGGACGTAAGGAATAATAACCTAAAATACCATATCTCTGTTTCCAATCAAACAAATGGAGCTGGTCATTTCTTAATCTGAAACCCTCTAACGTGAGAAAATAGTGCCTGTTTAAGATGCTTTGAATACCGTTTGGTTTATTTTTAGTTGTGGGATCTCAGAACTAGAAGGAACTAGACATTTCGGTCTCATGGTTGCTGTTTACCTGGTGAGCCCTGTTGAAAGGTGGTAGAAGGGTTCATGCCAGCTTACTCCCAGGGCTGGGAGAACTTGAAATTTGGTTCCTATGTGGTAAGACATATAGGTAGCCCTGTCTTTGCAAAGGGGCCCTTGTGGCACATTGGTTAAAGCACTCAGCTGCTAATCAAAAGCTGGGGAATTCGAACCCACCAGCTGCCTCATGGGAGAAAGATGTGGCAGTCTACCTCCATAAAGATTTACAGCCTTGGAAACCCTATGGGGCAGTTCTACCCTGTCCTACAGGGTTGCTATGAGTTGGAATAGACTATGGCAGTGGGTTTGGTTTGATTTTGGTTTGTCCTTGCAAAGATCACTTCCATGTTCACCTACTCTTTCTGTCCCTTCTTCCCCAGCTTAAGTTAGAGGCCTAAGTTGTATTAATAAGTTCAGAAGAGTGGATGGTCATTATGAATTAATTTAAAGTGTCTGAAAGTCAGTGAAGGGTCATTCATGGGGGCATGTTCTTTGTGTTATTGTCTGTGTCTCATTTGGCCAATAGTCTGATCTAATATGACTGATACTCATCTTTTCTTCTACACAAAGTCTCCTCAACAGATTATCCTCAATGTGCTATAGTTCAGAGGCAGCTTATTATAGAAGAAAAAACATGAGCTTTAGGATAATACAGTTTTGGATTTAAATCCCAAATACACATGCTACCTGTGTGACCTAGAAAATGTTATTTAACTTCCATGTCTCAGTTTCCCATCCATAAAATGGAGATACTTTCTACCTCATGAGGGAGTTGTGAGGATTAAAAAAGAAAAATGATATAAAGCAGCCACCACTGTGCCGGGCACCCAGGCTGTCCTCAGTGATCATAATTCCCTCCTTCCTCCTTAGTGTCTGCTGTAGCTGGCACTTAGTAAATGCAAAGGGAGGCATGTGGGGATTGGCAAGTCCCTTTCTACATCCTGCTTCTTCCATTTGCCCTGCCACCTTTCATTTCAGGCTCATTTCAAACTCCACCTTGTTTCAGCCACCCAACCGTGACCTGTCTTGCCTGATCTTCACAGCTGATGCTCACACCCTACTAGAAACTGCTTACAGTCTCACAAACACGTCTTATCCTTCGACCAAGTCGTAGGTCCCTTGAAGGCAAGGACTTGCTCTTATTCTTGTAGTTAGCTGCCATTGAGTCAGCTCCCGACACATAGCAATCCCACACACAACAGAGCAAAACACTGCCTGGTTCCTTTACTGTCCCCATAATCAACTGGGTATTGGATCATTGTGGTTTATAGGGTTTTCACTGGCTGATTTTCAGAATTAGGTCACTGGGCCTTTCTTCTTAGTCTGTCTTAATCTGGAAGCTCCACTGAAGCCTGTTCAGCATCACAGACAGGTGGTAGCTACACATGAGGTACATTGGCCAGGAAATGAACCCTGCTCTCCTACCTGGAAGGTGATAATTCTACCACTGAACCGCCAATGCATCGAAGACAGGGACTAGGTCTTATAATTATGTTTGGTCTTGGTGTCAAGTCTAGTGCCCTAATGGATTGTCGCTTGGCTATTTAATTACAGTCAGAGGGGCTGAACCTGCTGTCTGTACTATAATCATCCTGCCTCCCTCTGGCACTGTCCACATGGCAAATCTTGGCCGTAGGACTGGGTATGGGGAGAAGGTGTAGCTTTTGCGTTCTCCACCTCCTGTCTTCTCTGTCCCAACTGTAACACCACTTAAGCATCTTCTTTGGCAGAGTCATTTAGGATAGCTAAAAAGCCCAGTTGAGCTTTTCTGAAGGCTGCAGGCACTGAAGCCCAGCAGGACTCCCTCTCTTTCTTGAACCAAACAAAATATTGTTAGAGCAAACATGAAATCTTTCCTATTTTTCACAGATGCTCTCCAGGCCTAACAAAGCTAA